AAATTTTACACTCTGTTATAGATTACTTATGTCCGTCTTCATTAGCCGAGTCGATGCAAAACATTAGGACGTTAAACACCATTTCATTTCAGATTACTTATTGTACCAGTGCCAGATTTGATATTCGTCACACACTGCGTTTTAATAAGTTTAAACACAACCATTATAGCATACAAACTGAATGCCAAATCTGACAAACCCTATCACCCAATCAAAAACTGTTTTACGTACGTAATGGTTAATTGCAAATCAACCACTCAAAAACTGTTTGACATAAATTGTTAATTGCCAACCATCCGTGTTTATAAGGAAGTAACTAAAATGGCCATATATCTTCTCAGATTTCTACTTTCAGACATCAAATACTTTATATGCTTATTGTTTGAACTTCCTCTTTTAGGGGCGATCCGTGTTGTAAATGGTAGGCAATATATCATGTAACATTTTAAAATAGTTAATAAACCATATCATGACTTATTAAATGTCATCCATGGCAATATGACTAGAGATATAAACATTTCTTCCCGATCAAAAATATTAAAGATGCATTTTGTAAGAGCTAAATCCCTCTATTGACGGTCTTTTTGGTGGCTTCAAATGTTATATAGATTATTCATTAGGTGTATATTCACATGCCAAGCCCCTAATCAAGCCCCTAATATTGAATGGGTTAGAACACCTGCGCAATTTCATGTTATCACGTTAAAATGGATAATCGAGATTTCGTTTATTATTGTAGCAATGCTACTTGAAAATCGAGACTATCTTTCAAAACTTCAAACACTCATAACTTTGTTCAAAATAAAGTAATATGACTCAAATGTTCAACATATCCATTTTCCATTAACTATTACAGGACGAAAGTCAGCTCTTTATCTAAATCTTACATTATTCATCTTCTACGAAACTCATTGAAATGTTCTTCGAAACGCCATACTTTAAAATTCTTTGTTTTTCTGTTGACAAGTTTGTCAGTTTGTACCAATCTACAAAGTTAATACTAAAAACAACTCGCCAAATTGTGCGAAATAATTTAATTTATCATCGCAATGATCTTTGGAGTGGGGGGGGGGGGCAGAAAAATATAGGACGTTAAATCCCTTTCTACTTCTATGATCGAGGTCCCGTATACAGATTGGCGTGCACGTAAAAGACCCCCTGGCAGTTGGAATTCGATACAAGCGTAGGCCAAAGCATTGTTGTCCGGGCAAAATTTCCCTCATAGCACACTGTATGGCGCATGCCCGTCTTCGTTATAGGCCTGTCGGGGCAGAACAGTAGGACGTTAAACCCCATTTTATTTTATTTTTATTTCATTTTACTTCCTAGTGGTGTGACCTCAATCTATGTATTCTTTCTCCCAGATGTTTGATCTCCATCCATGTATTCTTCCTCCCAGATGTTTGACCTCCATCTCTGTATTCTTCCTCCCACATCTTTGACCTTCGTCTTATTCTTATACTGTAGTACTACGGACTTCTTTATTTGTTGTGTTCCTTGTGATCGTAAATAATACTACAGCAATAATGATTTCACAGCTTTATTATTAAACTGAGAATAACTTTGCAGGTTCCTCGTTCTCAATGGTAATGGCTGGTAAGAATTTCTGGGTGAGCTCTAATCCAGCTCTCCTCTACACCCTATTTATACCCCCTACTTCTTGCAGGTCTTCAATAACCTTGACGTGAATTTCCACGCCATATAAGGAATAAAACTCTGTATTTCCCACAAATAATACAGGCAACATTACCTATTTTTGGTCTATCAACCCTAGGTCGATTAACAGCTAGAATTTGATGACTATTTTGACAATGATTATAATTTGACCAAAACATCACTGTTTTTTTACGAATAACTATATCCACGTTAATTTAGTACATGTGATATAACTTTATAGACAAAATTGAAGAGACAATTTTATAAAGACCCACCATTGTCTCAAGGGGCAAAGTGCTACACCTCCCAGAAGTTTGACCTTCATCTTATTCTTCCTCCCAGATGTTTGACCCCCCTCTCTGTATTCTTCCTCCCACATCTTTGACCTACATCTCTGTATACTTCCTCCTTACTTCACGAAAGACAGTCGTGAAAAAGAGGCTCGTTGTCTCCTATGAGACCACAGGAACACAGGAAAGCCAGTCGTGAACGAGAGACTAGTCTAGCATTGGGTGAAATTGAGAGAGCAAGTAGGATTGTTTTCATCGCCTCCAATTTCTTGGTTAAAGGCATCGTCTTGTTTTTGAGACACAGTGTCCAATTGTGCCGTTTTCTCTTCTATACCACACCGACCCCATCCAAACCCGCGTAATTATATTATCTCTTAAATACATCTTAACAAAATAGATATCTATCCTCGGGCAATGAATAAGCTTATTCAACAATTTTTAGGGTAAATATTCAGAGTTATGTCCCTTGCCTTTTAGAAATTTATGTGGGATACCTTATAGTGAAATGAAATGAAATGGAGTTTAACGTCCCACTCACTACTCTGTCCCGACTGGGCTAATGAAGACGGGTATACGCCATACAGTATGTTATGAGGGACATTTTGCCCGGGTAGCGGCCCTAAGGCCTACTCCAACTGCACTGCCATAGACTGCGGCCGATAACTAGAACAATCGATAAAATCTGGGTAGAGACACAACATTGTGTAGGGCTGTCCGTTTAGGGTCATTTATTAAGAAAATCATGTTTTTCAATTGGTTTTTTTCTCAAAACGGCGGCCATTTTCCAAGAATGTTGACATTTTCGCTTTTTCTTTCAAAGTATTTTACCCACTGGATTAATTGAGGGTGCTTTCCATGTAGCATATTCCACAGACCAAAATTTCTCGGATATCCGAACCAACGAACCACCAGCGATATAACTACAGTATTCAGTTCGTGTTCTATCGCCACAAGTGCTATAACATTATGCACACACTTAAAGATACATTATGGCAGATTAGATAAAGAACTGGTAGTTCTCACTATAATAGGTAAAAACTAGATAATGTAAAGGCAATTTGCTGAAAATTTTAGTCAAATTGATCAACTATGAACCGTGAATAAAGCGATTAAAATTTTGGCCTAGCTTCGATCATCATTACTAAAGTCGGTACGATAATAAACATAGTCTCGATTATCCATTTGTTGATTTAATTATCAATGAACGTTGTGCAGCACATAGGAATCTTATCCTGTAAATGTCGCAAGCTAGCGATGCCATCGAGAGTTGATTATGGTGGGGATAAGTTAATTAATGTCTAATTAACATTTCAGGCCTAAAGAAGGACCTACAATAGGCAGATTTAGCTCTTGCATAATGTATGTTTAACTATCTCCTTTGCGATTGGATATCTGCACAGAAAGGCCACCATAGTGAACAATAAATAGTGAATGGAAATGAAAATGGAATCTCAAAATTCTCGAAGCTAAAATCTCCGGAATGGGAATTAAAATGTCGGTCAACTTCCTTCGTGCCTGTTCTTAATGTGGAACTAATTGTAGATAGACAGCCTAAGCTTCGTATGAAATGCCAGAAATCCATTTAAACAATGATTCGTTTATATTTTATTATATGTACAAACTTTATAAATACAGTGAAAAATATAAATTTTGTTTTTTTCTCTGAAATATAAGATTTGATTGTACAGGAATAATACTGGTATTTATTGATATCATTTACAAACATAATTATAAGACTTGCTTGTAGAGGTATAATACTGGTGTCTATTCATATAATTTACAGATCATAATACTTTTCAGTAAGCCTCACTGGATGGTTGTGACTACTACCGATATTGGTCTAGTTTTTCCAGATATTAATAGCTGATCAGAAGTATGTAATACTGTTATTCTTTTATTGCTAGATGATTACGGTTCAATAAGCCCCGCGTTCAAATCCTTAAAATATTGACCTGGCTGGATGTCACGACTACTACCGATTTTAGTCTAGCTTTTCCAGATACTAATAGATGATCAAAAGTATATTATGCATAGGCCTACTATTATTGCATTTATGATATATATATACAAGTGTAAATATTGTTTTCATATACGTCCACTCAACTCAAGTTTGGTCATTCTGGGACTAACATATGGTAATGTGAAGGTTCAGCAGTGGGAGGAAACCGGAGGTTCAGGAGATAACCCACGAGGCTGGCTCGCAGTGGCAGGCGTTATGATCAATAGCGCATGCGCTATACCCCCTCCCCTCAATTAAAGGACAACAATCAGGTAATCAGTCTTCTAGCGACGTGAAATTTTGAGCTCTAAAGATTATTTAGTTGTCGAGATGGTACAGTTTGAAAAAAAAAAATGAAAAAAAAACAGGCAACCGAGCATGAAGCCATTTGCGCCATCTTGGAATTGTGACGTCATATTGAAGATCGAATTGCGTCAATCATTGCTGAATAATTGTCCAATGAACAAGCATGATCATGTTTTATTACAAATCATCCAAGGTCTTTAATAAAAAAAAAACATTTAACACTTGGGCAGTAAATTCAGAGGCGTAGCCGTAAAATATATATTGGGGGGGTCCGCAACCCTAACTCCTAACCCTAACCCTATATTAAAACCCCTAAAAAATATAAACAAACACCATGTGGCCATGCTGTCTACATAACTCGTTTGCTGATTGGCCCACCGCGTGCAAAGTATTATGGTTGCGTGGCTGGCTGAGCGGGCGATAAATATTTGGTTTAGGCGATGATGTTTTTGGGTACCTACATGCGATTCACTCTGATAAGTGGCAGAAAAAAATTAACTAGACACAATTTTATGGAACACAGTTACTTTTTACTTCACACATGTTTCAAGGATGATTCTTCCTGTGTTCTATTTTAGCAATGTAAACCATATTGGGATATGTACAGGTTTTATACAGATATAATCTTAACTAACCCTAATAATTGTTGTAAATAAATAGGAGTTAGGGTCTACTATGTAAATATTTGGGGGGGTCCAAGTATATTCAGACACCCCCCCCCCCCCCAGAAAAAAAATTGCCCCCCCCCCCATGTGTGACGCCCATGAGTAAATTTACAAATTTTAAATCAATCATAGAAAAACACCCCTATTCGTTCGCGACCTTTTAACATCAAAAACAAATATTGAAAATATACAAACATAGATATCTGGTGCGTGGTGCTTTTTTAAAATATAAAATATCACAGCTTTGTTTGCAAGCTTAAAAATGCATTATGTAAGATTTAGATAAATGGTTGACCGACCGACAGTTAAACTGCTACGATAATACAGATTTTAACGTTCAATTATGAAATGCAGGGGCGGATCCAGAGAGAGAGAGAGAGGGGGGGGGTAAAACATAACTTTATGAGAAAAGTGTAACCGTCTTGTGCGTTATCCTTACTCATAAGATAGTGGAATGGGGTTGGCATTCAAAGCGCGATGTAATGATAATATAGACATGTGTGATATCACAATTAATGCTTTGCATCAATGAAATTGAATCACAATGTGATCCTATTAATTCATTATAAAAATTGACATCAAACAGGAAGTTGGATTTCTCTCTTTAAAAAGCTCAATGTGTATGGATGCCTTCGTAATTTAGTGACGATGATGGCATCATGCATTGTCAACTTTTAAATTTCCTTAACAATAAACCCCCTGGATCCGCCCCTGAAATGGCGCGAGGTTCTAACCCATATAATATTTCTGCCATCCGATGATCTAGAGGGTTGGGTATAGGGCTTTTCAAGACCATAGAGGTCTAAATAATAATTTATATAACAGAAGCCAGAAAAAAGATCTGCAATGTGCAGATTTAGCTCTTACATAATACATATTTAAATTAAAAAAAAAAAATAAAACAGCGGTTGAAATAGAAAAAAAAACATGATTTTGATCCATGATGAGTTATTGCGATATCTGGTCTCAAATACAATCAACACTCAATCTGAAATTTATAACAAATATAAATTTTTAATTATGAGAATAAATTTCTAAAAGCGTCGTATACTAAATGTTGAGAAATCTTGAAAATTTTACACCCGAAATATAAGTAGTGTGCAAAACAACGTCAAAAGCGGATTTCATGTCACATGCGCCTGTAGCATAGAGAGAGAATTGGAGTTTAACGTCCACTCGACACAAACTAGGTCATTTCGGGACTAACATATGGTTTAATTTTATTTCAATAATTCGCTTGCGCGTAGGGTTTTTTAGCAGTGGGGGGAAACCGGAGGACCCGGAGAAAACCCACGAGGTTGGTCAGGCAACCTTACTCCTTGTCTCGTACAACGGGGGATTCGAAACCACGCCAATGACAGGCCTCATGATACAGCGCCCACGTGCTAACCATTCGGTCCCCCCCCCCCCCCCGTAGCATAGAAGATCTCTTTCCAACATTAAGCAGACGACTACCGCCAGGACCGATCGCATTATTTCTATTTTTTTTTTCTTTTGTTTTTCATTTTGAACGAAGCTTGAATTATTACAGAACTGGGACTCTATCCCCCCCCCCCACCCACGTCCTCCCCACACACATACGGATCCGCGCATGCCTAGTTCGTAATGCTAGGTTCCAACTATCTGCGATTGAAATCGTGGTTTTAATCGTGGAGTAATCGTTGTGATCCTATCAGGTCTTATCATATATTGGGGCCAGTCGTAGCAATCGTGTTAATCATAGCGAAGCGTATCTGAAAGTATTCGCACGTACCAGATCGTGGACTCAATAGCCAGGGACAATCCTATCGCAACGCATCGCGCGACAGTGGCGACCTAGAGTAAGCGGGATTGTTAAATTCAAGGGGAAATAACTTATCTCAGACCGGTTTTCTACCGATAGAAATGAAATGAAATGAAATGAGGTTTAACGTCCTACTATTCTGCTCCGAACTGGGCATATGAAGACGGGCATACGCCATACAGTGTGCTATGAGGGAAATTTTGCCCGGACAGCGGCACTACGGCCTACTCTTATATCGAATTCCAACTGCCAAGAGATCTTTTTCGTGCACGCCAATGTGTACACGGGACCTCGGTTTTTCGTCCCATCCGAACGACTAGACAGCTGTCCTTGTCAGGCCCTCAGTCCTGCATCACTGACACAAAGGTGAGTAACACACTGACAACGAAAGGCGAGATTACAGTCGACAACCCTACATTCCGTCAACTATAAGTCGCAACACTCACTAATTCCCACTAATTCTTTAATTATTCTTACCTCTCAGATTTCTGTCTGTGTCGTTGTATTTTCATTATGTTTCTTCAGCCTCAAGCGGTGCCTCTACTGGACTATTTTCTGTTACTTGTTCTGAAAAACACAACGAATATACAATATGTGATCTTCCCCATTCGAATTACGTATTTAAGAGATAAACACTTCCGGTTTCGAAATCTGAGGGTAGCTTTACCGATTATCGTTTCATTAACGAAATGAAATGAAATGGGGTTTAGCGTCTTACAGTTCTGCTCCAAGCTAATGAAGACGGAGATTTCCTTAACAGCCTTCACAAATTCGTAACACGAAGTTTTCTGCTTCACTAATTAGAATAGAGAAAAGTTTGATCATTTTGAGTCACAATAAATATTGTCGCAGCAGCAGCATCCCAGAAACATTAATATATATTTCAGTTCGCACAACAGTTGCAACGTTTGATAGCTTAAAACTCGTATTGTTAAGTAAATGACGAGGAACTGGACCCCAAGTTCTACTCATCATCGTGTTGTTCTACTTGTTCTTGAGATCGGTGATGACGTCATACTCAATTACTATTTTATATTACGTTCGTGCTTGTTAATCTAAAGTTTTGTTTATTAAAATCGTCCAAGGAATATTTTTTGTTGTTATGGCAGATGTGATCCTGTACGTTAAATGAATCTACAATTAATCCTATAGGTCTTTTTGTTTGTTTGTTGATTTTTTTGTTTTTTTATCTATATCACACGTATATTAATTAATTTAATTTATATCACAAGTACATTAATTAATTTATATCACAAGTACACTATTTAGTTGTGTGAGATATCTCCTCATATTATTAGAAAATAGAGGCAGATAACATGTTTATTATAGTTTATTAATGATTGTTAAATATTAATTAGGTAGTGTGGTATAGGCTTTCTAGTTTTTATCACTATTTATCATAAGATTGGAGAAACTGAAATAAACCATACTTGTATTCCATGAAGAACGCTAGATCGGAGACGCTCCTGCACATTTTAGCACACAAGACGTCATATGTAGATTGTGGGTTAGGGGTAAGGGTTAGGACCTGCAGATTCCATCAAAGTCTCGAGATGTAAAGAGGGCTAGCGCTAACCTTAATCCAGGACCAAGCCTAACCCTTACCCAAAACCTAACGCACAATCCACATATGACGTCATATGTGCAGGACCGTCTCTGATCTAGCATTCTCCGTATTCCATTAGAATTGTGACCTGAGTACTTGATAGAGAATCTTAGTCGAAATAAACAGTAATTGTATTATATATAATTTCCTCCTGTATATTTCCAGTTGAAACGTCACTCAGTAATAAACAGGATTCCATAGAAATGCGTCCTGTATTTCCAGTTCTCTTACTAGATTAATGGTTGTTAAATACGTATAAGGTTGTGGACTTGATAAAAACTACAGAATTTTATTCGAAACGATAATAAACATTAATTATATTCCATGGAATTGTATCCTGTGTACAGTGGGGTTGAGTTGGGGTGTATGTTCATAGTGATTTGTAGAGTCAATCCGGACTCGAATATAATAACATTAATTATATTTCACAGAACTGTATCCTGTGTACAGTGGGGGTGAGGTGGGGTGTATGTTCATAGTGATTTGTGGAGTAAATCCGGACTCGAATAATATAATATTTAATTCCTTCACCCCAAACATAAACCTCAAATTTACACATTTCATAGAAGCAGAATGATATAAACGAATTTTGTATACTGTCATTTGGGGTGGGGGTAGGGTAGGAAGGGATAACCCCTCCCCCCGACTGGATCCGCCACTGCCTGTGTATTTCTAAAGTTCACTGAAACCAATTATAAAACATGGCACTATAAATGGTAGGCAGCAGGGCGTCCCGCCACACTAATGTTAGTTTACGGTCTGTATCAATAATATATTGTGGAAAATCGAATAACGGAGACATTAACCAGTGTTTTTATTACATTGACGGATATTATAAAACTAAGAGGTGTCGTGTTTATCAAATATTAACAGCGGCTAATCCAAATAGAAATCAATAAATCCTCTTTATTTAAACACGCTGATATAGTAAACAGTTGTTTATAGACGGGGTTTACACGACCGACTGAAACCATATTAAATTGGCTTAACTTGGTCTTCTTTAATCAGACACACCAAGACATTAAACCAGAGAGAGAGTGAGAGAGAGAGACAGAGGGACAGAGAGAGAGAGAGGGGGGATAGACAGACAGACAGACAGAGAGAGAGACGAGACAGAGACGACAGAGAGAGGGGGGAGAGAGAGAGAGAGAGAGGGGGGGGGGTGAGGGCAGATCAATATATCCTCTTTATATTTAAGCACGCTGAGATATTAAACCAATCCATGTTTGGTGTTGCACCGTGCTTCCATACAGTTAACTATACGTACAATGTACTTGTATAGACAAATTTTGCATGAACCGGACCGAATGCATGTGAATATGCATGTGCAATTGATTGATTGATTGAATATAGTTATTTCTTTTATCTTGTTTCTTTAAATGTTAAAATTTTGGGGAGAGGGATTATATAGGTTTTGCCTGTGTCCTAAAATTAAATAAAATATTGTTTATAAAAAACAAAAACAAAAATAAAACACCCCCAAAAAACGGACCGAAGTCTTTTGGACGCAGACCACCAAGTGATTCATCACTTGTCTAATTACCCTTTCAAGGGCGTAAAGCATTCCCCGAAAAGTTATGAATTGCGAACATAGTTACCGAACTATATAGATAAATAGTTATGGAGATAAATAGTATGCGTTAATGGGTTTTTTAAGAAAAATACGGGGCACTCGTATCTTTTGAGATACAGTGTGTAAGGTATGTGCGCATAAAATCCGTACGATACGATACGTTTTGAATGGTGAACACAGCAACCAAAACATGTAGACATAGACAAATATTATAATGTTAATGGATGATGGATGAAAAACTGTGGAGTCACACTAAGTGATTTTATATAATAAAAAAAATAATATTTAGGCTCGTTACAACCTCTTGAGTTGGAATGTTATATTTGTTATGTTTTTTTAAAAGTAATTTTAAGTTATGGTTACAACTTTATGATATTATTATGCATTCTGAACTCAGAGATCTGTCTACGTTGAGAATAGATCCCTGCAATGAATGGCCGCCATATTCAAAAATTCGTAATGCTGTTCTAATTTGTTTTACATCTTTCATACACACAAAGACTAAATCCCAATTTTCAATTTTATTAAACAGAAACAGAGTAAACACTTCTCCAAATACTCGAAGCTAACTAAGTGGTTTCTTCATGTCTATGCAGGACGGAGGGCCTGACAAGGACAGCTGTCTAGTCGTTCGGATGGGACGAAAAACCGAGGTCCCGTGTACATATTGACGTGTACGAAAAAGATCTCTTGGCAGTTGGAATTCGATATCAGAGTAGACCGTAGCGCCGCTGCCCGGGCAAAATTTCCCTCATAGCACACTGTATGGCGTATGCCCGTCTTCATTAGCCCAGTTTAGGAGCAGAACAGTAGGACATTAAACCCCATTTCATTTCATTTCTTCATGTCTAATGTAGACAGCCGGCGTAAGTTTCGTATGGTTACAGCTTCGTGTGGTTATTATGGTTACACGAATTATTGTTATCTAATTCTTATTGAAACTAAAGTACATATTTACTAAAGGGCTGGCTAGCACTCAGACTTCTTGAGTTACATCAGAAAAAATAGAATTAAGGTAGGTTTACACTGTAAGATGATTAATCAGATATCAATATAATAAGAAATCTGATTTGCCAATAACGGCCGTAAACACATGTTCTCGTTGTCACAATACTCGAAGCTACTTTTTCAAAATAAACAAATGGTACATAGTAGAGAAGATATTTATTGCCTAAGTTTGTGTAATGAGCTTTAGTTTAATGTTAAATCAAATATATTTATTTAAAGATGGGAAACTGTTTTGTAAACCGTGTTTATGGTAGTCATGGTAATTTGAACACTATTGGTGTAGGGGGCCACAGTGGTTTGTTGAGTATGGTAGTATAGGTAACTTTAACACTATAGGTGTAGGGCCACGGAGGATTGGCAAGTATAGCACCGGATCACTAACCTGGTCAGTGGTGCAGGGAATTTCGAGGACAAAGAGACAAATCGTTCGGGTCGAACAAAAAACAATGGCATGAACGTAACGACTCCCTACCACCAACAGAGTTGGAATTCCATGCAAATCATGTTGACCGCATCGAAACGTAACCGAAGGTTTCTGCACGTACCAAATCGAGGACTCAATGGGGACAATCCCACCGGAACGCATCGTATGACAGTGGGAAGCTAGCGTTAGTAATCTTTCACTCTTAATAATCCATGTCGCAGACACAAACACTCTTGAATAGTTTGGGTCCTTATTTTGATCCACATCAATATCATGATATAAAATAATTTTATTTTCTTCAACATCGGCAGGACTAAAAATATCAATTAATCATTTATCCTGTTGTTTGCTTGGTAAATGTTGACCTGAATTATGGAATCTTCATACGAATCGTATCGTAGCGCCTGAATCGCAATACCTATCGTAGCGTGTCTGCAGTGGTGATACCAAGTACTAGTCTGTGTCTATATTTTATTTTTTGCGCAATGTTTATATAGACATCCATTAGTGACCAGAGACAAACTGACTGTATTACACATAAGAGTATATGTTTTCTCTTTCGTCAGAATGTTTACTCCAATTTGTATTTATCGAAAAACATTAAATTTTTTCCACGACCTAATCCACACTCAAATTGAGATATATATATATATATATATATATATATTGCCCAAAATGAAATGTGATTTAATGCTTTACCTCCCTGTACTAAACGACCTAATGAAGACATATACGGGTACACGCCATACAGTGCGCTTATAATGGAAAAAATGTCGCCGCCCGCGGGGCTACGGCCATGTCAGGTGATCCTCGTTAGACTGGCTGTGACAAAAGGCGTTTGAACACTGTTTCACATACAGATAATAAACCAATATTAATTAAGCGAGGCGCCTTGTAGCACACCATTTAAACTAGGCGCCTTGTAGCTCACCATTTACGCTCCCGTGTTTTTTTTT